GAGTAAGACTCTGTCTCAAAAAAAAAAAAAAAAAAAAAAAAGATAAAGCTATCTGTTTAGGAACAAAAGCAAGCCAGTTTCTTGCTTTCAGCTTAATTTTTTTCTTTTGGCAGAGTAAACTGGGGTCCCAAGTTTATTTTCCTTTCGTACTCTCAAGACACCAATCTCTCCTTGTTCTCCTCTGGCCAAGTCTCAAGTCTCTTTCCCTTTCTGCCAACTCCTTAAAGGTACAAGTTTCACAGGATTTTCAACCCTAACGTATCTTCTATTTCACTTAAAAGACCTTTTTCTGGGTCAACTCATTAGTCATGGCTTCAATTACTGAACTCCCAACAGAGTTTGGCTCTCACCCTGCTATGAACTTTAGGGTAATGGTTTATTCTTATTTATTTATGTATTTGTCTATTTATTTATTTATTGAGACTGGTTCTGGCACTGTCACCCAAGCTGGAGTGCAATGGCATGACTGTAGCTCACTGCAGCCTGGAACTCCTGGGCTCAAAGGAGCTTCTTGCCTCAGCCTCCTGAGTAGCTGGGACTACAGGCGCACATCACCACATTAGGCTATTTATTTATTTATTTATTTGAGACAGGGTCTCACTATGTTGCCCATGCTAGTCTCAAACTCCAGGCCTCAAGTAATCCTTGAGCCTCATCTCCCAAAGTGCTGGGATTACAGGCATAAGCTACCATGCCTGGCCCATAGTTTCAACTGTTTACAAAGTGACTCCACCCGTATGTTCCATTGACACATCACAATTTTATGTTTACATATCAACTCACTATCTTCCCCTGAGAGTAGCGTCTCCACCTGTTGTCCCCATTTGGTTCCATTATCCATCAGTTACCAAAGTCATCACTAGATTCCATTATCTCCTGCCTCAGCCCCGAGATTCAAAGTCACTCAACCCTACGGTTTCTGTCTCCTTTGCAGTCCTTAAATCCATCTCCTTTTCACCATCCTGCCCCAGTTTATCTATTTGGGGGGTGGCATTGAGGGAGGAAGAGGGATGTGCATCAGAACCACCTGTATAATGTTCTTAAGGAAACATACAAGCCCAGCATGGTGGCTCACACCTGTAATCCTAATTCTTTGGGAGGTGAAGGCAGGATGATCGCTGGAGGCCAAGAGTTTGAGACCAGCCTGGGCAACACAGCAAGACCCCATCTCTACAGAAAATTTAAAAAATCATTTGGGCATGATGGTGCATGCCCTTAGTCCCAGCTGCTTGGGAGGCTGAGGCAGGAGAATTGGTTGAGCCTATGGGTTTGAGGTTACAGTGAGCTATCATCGCACCACTGCACTCCAGCCTAGATTACAAAGTGAGGTCTCTCAAAAAATTAAATAATAAACAAACAAGTAACCATTATATACCCTGCCCCATCTCCAGATATTCTGAACCTGTATACACTCTTCCTTATCTTCACTGTCCTTAACCCATTTTCAACACAGCTGGCAGAATGATCCAATGATCCTTCAAAAATGCAACCTCTCTGTTTAGCCTTTCAGTGAGTCTCTAGGATGAAAGTCCAAACTCCTCTCAAACCCGTCACCTTCGGTTCTTGCCCACAGCTTCCACCTCATCTGCTGCCACTCCCTATGGATATCCCACACTCAATCCTTATCAAATGGTAGTACTTGCTGTTCCTGGAACACGCCTTCTTTCCTCACCTTAGTGTTCTCTTCTCTGTGGATATCCTCTGTGATATCTTTCCACTTGATAGTCACTTTGTTCAAAACGCCTCTCCTGACTTCTCTAGGCAATTAGTTATTTCTGTCACAGGTGTTAGAGCCAGAGCAACTCCATTTTGAATACAGGCTGAGACCTACTGGGCTGTATTGCCAGGTTAGGTATTCCTAGTCACAGGATGAGTTAGGAGGTCAGCACAAGATATAGATCATAAAGACTCAGCTGATGAAACAGGATGTGATAAAGAAACCAGCTGGCCAGGCACGGTGGCTCAGCGGACAGATCACGAGGTCAGTAGTTCGAGACCATCCTGGCCAACATGGAGAAACTCAGTCTCTACTAAAAAATATACCGGCCAGGCACGGTGGCTCACGCCTGTAATCCCAGCACTTTGGGAGGCTGAGGCGGGTGGACCACGAGGTCAGGAGTTCAAGACCAGCCTGGCCAAGATGCTGAAACCCCGCCTCTACCAAAAATATAAAAAAATTAGCCGGGCGTGGTGATGGGCGCTTGTAATCCCAGCTACTCAGGAGACTGTGGCAGATAATTGCTTGAACCCGTGAGGCAGAGGTTGCAGTGAGCCGAGATCTCCCCACCGCACTCCAGCGACACAGCGAGACTCACGACACAGTGAGACTCCGTCTCGAAAAAGAAAAGAAAAAAAAAAACAAATTTAGCCGGGCGTGGTGGCATGCGCCTATAGTCCTAACTACTCGGGAGGCTGAGGCAGGAGAATCGCTGGAACCTGGGAGGCGGAGGTTGCAGTGAGTCAAGACCGTGCCATTGCACTCCAGCCTGGGTGACAAAGCGAGACTCCGTCTCAAAAGAAAAAAAAAAAAAAGAAACCAGCCAAAACCCACAACAACCAAGATGGTGATGAAGGTGACCTCTAGTTGTTCTCACTGTTTATTATACACTAATTATAATGCATTAGCATGATAAAAGACACTCCCACCAGTGCCATGACCGTTTACAAATGTCACAGCAACATCCAGGAGTTATCCTATGTAGTCTAAAAGGTGGAGAAATCCTCAGTCCTGGGAAATCCTTGCCCCTTTCCTGGAAAATTTTCGAATAACCCTCTCCATAGTTAGCATGTAATCAAGAAATAGCCATAAAAATAGCCAACAAGGCTGGGCGCAGTGGCTCACGCCTGCAATCCCAGCACTTTGGGAGGCAGATGGATCACTTGAGATCATGAGTTTGAGACCAGCCTGGCCTACATGGCGAAACACCATCTCTACTAAAAATAAAAATTAAAAAATTAACTGGGTGCGGTGGCACGCATCTGTAATCCCAGCTACTCCGTGGGCTGAGGGAGGAGAATCGCTTGAACCCGGGAGGTGGAGGTTGCAGTGAGCCGAGATCACGCCACTGCACTCCAGCCTGGGCGACAGCGAGACTTCAGCTCAATTAACAAAAAAAAGAAAAAGAAAAAGAAAAAGCCATCAGTAGCCCTCAGTGCTGCTCTGCCTATGGAGTAACCATTCTTTTATTTCTTTACTTCTCTAACAAACTTGGTTTCACTTTATGGGCTTGTCCTGAATTCTTTCTTGTGCAAGATCCAAGAACCCACTTTTGGGGTCTGGATTGTGACCCTTTCCAGTAACATTTCCTCTTCTCTGTTCCCACAATACTTTGTTCATATAGTGATTCGGTATTTATTAGTAGATAATTACAAATATTTTTGTTTATACAATGTCTTACCCCCTAAACTGTCAATAGATTTTGTTCAATTTATTTTTATATGCTCTAATATAGAGCCTGGCACATAATGTATATTCAACAAATGTTAACTGAATAAATTTTCAAGGGAATAAGTTTTAATTTCTATCTTTCTGATTGCTTAGTGTTTAATATATTATAAAAAATATTATTCAGGCCGAGCACGGTGGCTTATGCCTGTAATCCCAGCACTTTGGGAGACCGAGGCAAGGGGATCACCTGAGGTCAGGAGTTTGAGACCAGCCTGGCCAATATCATGAAACCCTGTCTCTACTAAAAAATACAAAAATTAGCCGGGCATGGTGGCATGCGCCTGTAGCCAGAGCTACTTGGGAGGCTCAGGGAGGAGAATGGCTGGAACCCGGGAGGCGGAAGTTGCTGTGAGCCGTGATCATGCCACTGCACTCCAGCCTGGGCAACAGAGCAAGACTCCGTCTCGAATAAATAAACAAATAAAAATAAAAACTATGATGCACTTTCAGGATAGCATGCTCTTTGGATCTCTTTAAATAGTGACAGTTTATATTTGAACAGTATCTTTCATTTTTCAAAGCACTTTCCCCCAACATTTTATTACGAAAATCTCCAAATATATGGAGGAAAAATAATTGTAAGTGAACACTCGTGTCGGGACTCAGAAACCGATACCCCAAAATGTGGGGCTTTGACATGTTGAATGGAAGCCTCAAGGTCTCTCTGACCTCACTGCCCTGCACCATCTCTCCCAAAGCACAGGATAAAGTTGAAGTTCCTTTATCTGGCTACGATCCAGACCCACCAAAAGGAACAATTGTTTTTTCTTCCCCTCTCCGTAAGACCAAAAATGTAACCACCCGAAAAGACCCTTTCACAAGATAATGTGCAAGTTCATCCCTGTGCCCTGATCCATTCACTTTCCCTAGTCATCCCCTCAACACAATGCCTCTGCTCCTCTCTCCCCAAGTCTGTTTGCCAGGATGGTAGACAAGCTTCTGAACCCCATCGGGCATGTGTTTCTCCCTGTGCACACGTTAATAAATGCATATGCCTTCTCTCCCATTAATCTGCCTTTTGTGAGATGATTTTTCAGTGAACTTCATAGGGCAAAGGGAACATTTTTCCCATGGTCCCTATACCCATATATACCCACTACCTAGATTCAAAATCAACATTTTGCTATATTTGCAAAACACTTTTCATAGGCTAATTTTATTATCACCTTAAAAAAAATTTTCTTTTTACAAGTACTACTCCTTGTGGAGCAGGGCTACCCCGTAGGCAGTGTGCCCAGAGTAGCTTATTATCACCTTTTACTTCACCTAATGACTAAGGTGTGATTCTATGTTTTATAGATAAGGAAACTGAAATTGAGGCTTTAATGACTTCCAAGGAGCTTATCTGCCAGAAGTTGTAATCAACTTGTGCCAGTTGATCTGTCCACACCCTCTAGGAGTTAGACACCTCTAGGTCTGAAAAATATTTAGAATATTCCTGTGATGAAAAGTTTGCAATTCCACAACACAGGGGAATCAGCAAAATCATGGGAAAACCAACAGAACACATTTCTAACTCATGAATCATTCAGAGAAGAATCCAGTCTTGGGTTTTCCCTCCCCCTCATCCCATTTCTATTCCTGATTAGTCATCATTTCCTGCCCAGCCTATCTGAGATGTTTCTTCCATCCTTTCTTTTCCAGTAACAGTAACCTGATGCAGGTCTACAGTATCTGTTATCTCAGCTGATTTCCTTTCTGCCTTTTCATGAACCAGAGACATGTGATTTCCAATTAAAGCACAGCCCTGACCATATCCTTGCCCAGCTTACAAAACGTCAACGGCTCGAAGCTATCTACCGAGTTAAGCCTACTATAATCCCCCTCCTTCTACACTACAACCTATCCACGCATCTGTCCTCTTACTCCTTAGCTTCCATCTTACATGAATGACTAAGAGTTGTTTCCCCAAATACACCCTTATTTACTTTTTTCATTTATAATTCACCACCGCCCCCACCAAAGTTTCACGTGGGTAAATTCTAGACCTTCACGTCATAGGCCAACTCAAATGCCAATCCTTCTAATGTACCTTCTAGAGATCCCGGGCCTGTTGTCATCTCTATCGCCAATCTTTGGCATTTTGTGGCACTAATCTCAGTCTACCTTGTAGAGCTTTCTGGTCTGATTTCCCTTGCCACCTTCTTCTGCTCCCTTTGCCTAAGTGTAACACCTCTGAGGAAAGGGACGCTGTTTTAATCACCGTCACCTCGCACATAGTCGGTGCTTTATTGTGCTTAATGTCGTTTAACGCAACACATCCTGCCGAGGGGGTCGGAGGCGGACGACTTTTGCTGTATCCACACAGACCCGCGCATGCACACACGGACGCCGTCTGCAACTCTGACAGACACGTGTCCCCTGGGCCACAGCCCTGGAACTGTCTCGGGATTCCCAGCCTGTGGGCGTTTCCATGCTGGCCAGCGGAAGGGGACGCTTTTTGCTTCAGAACTGCTTCAACGGATATCTCTTACTTTAGACCGCCTACAGATTCTACCCGATAAATCAGCCTAAGCTCTGCTTCCTTTTAAAACAGGATTACGCCGGGTCGAGGGAGCCCGGCGTGGCCGCGCAGTGGCCGGGTCCCGCGGATCCCCCTCCACCTCCCACTTGGTAGCGCCCGCTTTGTCAGCGCGCAGCGCTAGCCGAGCGGCCTGCAGCTCTTCGCCAGGTCTCACAGCAGACGGTGGCGACGCAGTGCTCTGGCGCCTCCCTCTCCTGCTCTGCTGCCCGGGATTTCCCCAGGACCTGCGCCGCGCGAGAAGGAGCCTGGGAGCATCCGCCCAGACTGCTCGGACAGTCGGCTCGACTCGCTGCCCTCGGCCCCAGCCGGGCTCCGCGTTGGTGGCGGCGGTGCCCGGCATGTTTCATAGTCCGCGGCGACTCTGCTCGGCCCTGCTGCAGAGGGACGCGTCCGGCCTGCGCCGCCTGCCCGCCCCAGGGCTGCGCCGCCCGTTTTCCCCGCCGGCGTCTGCTCCCAGGCCCGCATCCCCCAGGCTGCTGGCGGCGGTCTCGGCGGCCTCGGGCGCCGCGAGGTCGTGTTCCCGAACAGGTGAGTGCACCCCATTTCTGGGCGGAGAACGCCACGGCCGCCAACGCTCGGCCGCCACCTGGAGACAGCGCGGAATGAATGGGAAGCCCGGGGCTGCAGTTCGTGGGATCTGGCCTGAAACCTTCCCGGAGCAACCTTCTCTGTTCCCTTTTTCCTCTTTCCCTGTCCCCCGACTTGCCTGGGGCTTGCATCAAAGCTGGTAAGAAATGGGAGACTGTATTCAGGTTCTCGCTTGACCCTTGGAGGCCGTGCTTTCAGAATTTCTTGCTCTTGACCTACGTTAAATTTCCCCCTTCCGAGGCTACGAGTTACTATTTTGGTTACACTTTTTATTGCACGGAAATTAACGGAAATTTTTATGGAAAAAAATCTAAATGATGCTTGTTTGTTCATATGGCTTTCGTGGTCTAGATATTAAGTTTTTTAAGTCGTGATAACACATTGATTCATTTAACGTTTCTTTTTCTTTCTTTCTTTTTTTTTTTTTTTTTTTTTGAGACGGAGTCTCACTCTGTCACCCAGGCTGGGGTGCAGTGGCAGGATACCGGCTCACCGCAACCTCCGCCTCCCGGGTTCAAGCGATTCTCCTGCCTCAGCCTCCCGACTAGCTGGGATTACAGGCGCCCGCCACCACGCCTAGCTAATTTTTGTATATTTAGTAGAGACGGGGTTTCACCATTTTGGCCAGGCTGGTCTTGAAATCCTGACCTCGTGATCCACTCACCTCAGCCTCCCAAAGTTTTGGGATTACAGGCGCGAGCCATCGCACCCGGTCATTTTACGTTTCTTTGGATTTTTTTTTCTTTTTTGGAGACTTCAACTCTTAATACTTAACATAATTTTGTGTCCTGTGTACCTAAGATCTTGTAAAAGTGAGGCCTTAGTTTCACCAACAGCTGTTTTTATACATCATAGTAATTACCCTTTTTTTTCCCTTTTTAGCCGCCTGTGTTTCTGCCTGGGCACACATTACCGTGGCCATAAATTACATACAAATTAATTATACTTTTAACATTGATAAATTTTTTCTTTCAAAACTAGGCAATACATAGCATTTTTTTTTTTTTCCGAGAGGGAATTTTGCTCTTGTTGCTCAGGCTGGAGTGAAATGGCGCGATCTTGGCTCACCACAACCTCCGTCTCCGGGTTCAAGCAATTCTCCTGCCTAAGCCTCCCGAGTAACTGGGATTACAGGCATGCGCCACCACGCCTGGCTAATTTTTGTATTTTTAGTAGAGATGGGGTTTCTCCATGTTGGTCAGGCTGGCCTCGAACTCCCGAACCCAGGTGATCCGCCCGCTTCCGCCTTCCAAAGTGCTGGGATTACAAGCGTGAGCCACCACGCCCGGCCTATAAAGTTTTAAAAATAGGCCGGGCGCGGTGGCTCACGCCTGTGATCCAGCACCGTGGGAGGCCGAGGCGGCTGGATCACCTGAGGTCAGGAGTTCGTGACCATCCTGGCCAACGGGTGTGGGCGTGGTGGCACTCGCCTGTAATATCCCAGCTAAGAGGCTGAGGCAGGAGAATCGCTTAAACCCGGGAGGCAGAGGTTGCAGTGAACCTCTGGAGATCGCACCATTGCACTCCAGCCTTGGCGACAAGAGTGAAACTCCGTCTCAAAATAAAATTAATAAAAATTTAAAAATGCATATATATATAAAACGATTATCTGGAATGTGATTGAAGCCAGTACTTTAAACTCTATTTGCATTGCTGGCGGATGTTTAGATATTTCCCAAACTAGTATCAAACTCCTGGCCTCAGGCTATCCTCAGACTCTGGAGTAGCGGAGATTTGCAGGTGGAAGCCAACCACGCCCAACTTAGTTGTAAAATTAGGATGTTGAATTGGTTGCTGGATACTCTGAACTATATTGTTCCTTAGAATAAACTTGACAGTTAGATTCCCCACCCCCACCCCCAGTTTCGTAGGAATGTGGCACATTGTGAAATAACTGCCAGAATGGGTATACCACCTGATAACTTTTTTCTTGCTGGAAATTTTAAGAACTACATTGTTAGGTTTGAGGTAGGAAAAGTAAAAGAAAACGAGATGATGTCTTTTGTACCAGCTTTTATCTTAAATTCCCTCAGTCTCAGAGACAGGGTTAGTAGGTGCCTCCTCGTGGGAATACAGTTAGCTTGTGTAAAACAGAGATGGCTGTGTTATCTGAGCAATTACTGTTATCTGAGTAATAAATATCAGGTCAGATTGGGATGTTGGGCTTTTGACTCAAGAAAGTGTTTAATGAACTTCTTTTAAGAAATCTCCTGAAACCCCCTAGTTTTACGGATTAGGAAATTGAAGGACTTTATGGTACTTAAACTTTTGTAGGCAGTTACTGTAAAGTCTAGACATTTTTCCTGTATCATGCAGTTTTAGCTTCGGCTTGTTGGAAGAAACATGTGCATGCATTGATTCATTCATTGCTTGTTCACTCATTCCAGATCTTTACAGAATGTCTCACACAATGTAGGTGCTTTATTATAGGAGCTAAAAAGAACATGAGCTTTTTAGTCAGTCCCTAAGGAGTTTACTGCCCAGTAAGAGATGAGATTTGCACAAAGAAATGGCTGTTTAATGAAATGAAACACCTTTTATTCTCTGGACTTGGAAATGGCACAAGGGTGCAGGAAAGCAGGAAGTCCCTTTTAGGCTTCTAGAAGTGGATGGCATTTCAGCTGGCTCTTGAAGCATGGTTAGTATTGGAAGAGATTACTATAAAGCATTTTGTTTGGAAAAAGCAGGCATAAATGCAGAAAGGCATGAGACACAGATGAGGAAGGGTGAGAGAAGAGGCACTTTGCAAAATGGACATTGTTTTCCAAAGAGCCTCAGAGCCAGCACTAAGTACTTTTTAATTTTAATTTTAATTTTTTTTGAGACAAGGTCTCGCACTGTTGCCCAGGCTGGAGTGTAGTGGCACCACCTCTGCTCACTGCAAACTCCACCTCCCAGGCTCAAGCAATTCTCCTGTCTCAGCCTCCGGAGTAGCTGTGACTACAGACACACCACCGTGCTGGGCTAATTTTTGTATTTTTAGTAGGAACGGGATTTCAACACGTTGCCTAGGCTCTCTCATCAGCTCTGGTGATCCACCTGCCTTTGCCCTCCAAAGTGCTGGGATGACAGGCATGAGCCACTGCGCCCAGCCTATTAAGTGCATTTTTAAAATGCAGATTCTTAGATCCTACTATAGACCTATTAAGTCTGAGTCATTCATGATGGGCCCTGGATTCCACATAACCAAATGAAATGACAAAAAGAATAACTCCAGATTGTTATTCTATGCCCTCAAATTTGGACATCTGGCACCCATATGTGAGAGAGACGTTTAAGGAGCCGAAAACTCCTCCACTCCTGAGCCTTTTGATGGGGAGTGGTGAGTCCCAACACCTGTCCACATTTGCTAGTCAGTTCCTGCATAACTTAATGCCCCTTGGCAGTTGGTGGTTATTGGGAAGATAAGTACAGTCCCTTTGGAGTTATCAGATTCCAGGTTTTTAGAATTAAAAGGTGACCTTGGGGATGATCTCGGTGTTTGGCTTTCTTTTCGCAAGGATAGCAGCCCCCATAAGAAGTAGCAGTTGCCACAGTTACTGTACTGGATGAAACAAACGCAGTTGGAAGTCATCGTGGGTTTATAAATGCTATCCTCCACATCCCTCCTCAGAGAATGAAGAGTTGGCTGAGCTACTGTTCTCTACCATTAGAACATTTGCTTTTTTCATGGTACAATTTTAAAGGCAAATGCCACCAACTCATTTGAGAAGGCAGCTTTATTTAATATGTCCTTTAACTATGTGAGTAAACTGCTGATGAGGGAAGAAATGGGAAAGCTTGTAATTATCAAGCTGCTATGGAATAAATTGCTTTCCTTGTGGGAAAACTAATGTATGATTTTTCTGTTAGGATTCAATGGCAACAGTTTAAATATGGTGAACTGGGGTTCTTTGGGATTAATAACCATGGCTCCAGATTCACATTCCACACACTTAACATTTGCAAATCATTTAACCTTGCTTGCTGTCTCAACACTAGACTTTACTTAGAACAAATAAGATGAATTGATAGCAATTTATCCACAAGCTTTATTGAACAGTACATGTAAAATGCGACATGACTAATTGCAGCGAGAGTTGGAAGAGAAATCGGTATGGCTGAATTTGTCAAGAAACGCTTTGCTTTGAATTAGGTGAAAAATGAGGGTGCTTTGGAAGGGGACAGGTTGCAGGGTGAGGGGGCTAGGCAGAGAAGACCACACACTGCCTGGAAGAAGGTAGAGCATGCAGGAGCTGTGGCAGGCATCTTAGGAAAAGAGGTATAATCAGAATCCTTTGGGACACTTGTTAAAATGCAGATTTCTGGTCTTTCACCCATCTTGAATCAGTTTCCTGTGGAGAAGTCTGATGGAGTGCATATTTAACAAGTGCCCCAGGGGATTCTTCCAAAAACATTAGGGAGTATTCGTGAGCTCTGGCCCTCCTTTCCCCAAAGGTACTTATTCCTGGAAAGCTTGAGAAGCTCTGGAGAGGATTCTGAAAGAGCCTGAAGACCTTTGGCTGGGCACAGTGGTTCATGCCTGTAATCCCAGCACTTTGGGAGGCCGAGGCACGGATCACTTGAAATCAGGCGTTCAAGACCAGCCTGGGCAACATGGTGAAACCCTGTCTGTACTAAAATTTAAAAAAAAAAGCCAAGTGTAGTGGTGCACACCTGTACATCCCAGCTGCTTGGGAAGCTGAGGCAGGAGAATCACTTGAACCCGGGAGGAGGAGGTGTCAGTGAGCCGAGATTGCACCATTGCACTCCAGCCTGGGTGATAGAGTAGGAGCAATACTCTGTCTCTAAAAAAAAGAATCTTTGAGCTTGGGGCCTAAGGCAATTCAAGAGACCCCTGAGCAAGAACATTGACCCCCAACAAAAGCAGCTTTAAAACAAATTTGTATATTTTGTCGAGACGGTTTTGCCATGTTGCCCCAGCTGGTCTCAATCCTGGG